ACGTACGTACTTGGTCGTTTCGGCAATATTCCCCAGGTGAGTGAACTGCTTGGAGTAATTCATACACATCTGGGACAAAAAATACACAAGAGAAAGTTACCACAATCCCCCCTCCTCCAGCGCCCGCCGCCCACGGACCCGCGGAGAAGTGTTCTCAGACGGAGCCGCTGAGTCAGAACGGGGAGGATGCGCAAAGAGGCAACGGGGGGCATGGGCCCAAGCGATCCCTCCTCCCGCCCACAAGCCTTTGCGACTCAGCTGGCGCACTGCCGTCCGGGTCACGTTCCCGCCCACACACAAGCCAGCTTAACGGAAGGGGCGTCTCCCCCAGCCGCCTGGCCCGACGCCTCGGAAGCCAACCGACACCTGCGCTTTCTCGCTACGCCCACCGACATCCCACGGCCTTGGAGACGTGGCCCCCCAAGAGGCGACGTTTGACTTGACCGGACGCAGCAGCTGACAGGATCCTAACACTCTTAGGACCACAGTGGCAGCCTAACCAAGGGGGGGGAGCGGGAAGCGGGGGCCACTGACCTACAGAAAACCAGTTTGGGGCCACACACGTGAGAAGCAAAACCACTAAACCCTCAGTGAGAAGCAGACAGACCCTTCCCTACTTTCCCCTGCACACCGGCCTAGGGGGGCCAAGGATCTTGTGTCCTCCAGCCCTGCAGAAGGGGGGCTGGAGCCCCAGCATGGGCTCCCCAATGCTGGGGGGAACCCTGAGCCTCGCGGGCCAGATCCAGGGAAGCCAGGGGTCACATCCGGCCCCTGGGCCTGCGGTTCCTCACCCCTAGCTTAAGGCATGAAAGCTGGAGGAATCCACTGCCCCGTTACTCCTGTTCCCACTAGCTTCTAGGCCTCGGGCAGCCCTGCAGGGCGTGCTCTTCCCAGCCCACCTCCCCTGAAACTTCTACCTCGTGCTGTTGCTTCATCCGCTTCATGAGCTCCACGTACTGGCTGGCTGCCTCCGGGGAGATGCTGACCCCACGACGCTGCATGAGCACGAAATCCTCCTTGTTTTCGGGGGCTGAGGGCACCTGGAAGAGAAGGGGGGCGTGCGACTGGCCGGCAGTTTCAAGGGAAGAGATTTCCTGCATGAGGACTCGCCCGGGCGCTGTACCGCATCCTCCGTCTTCCTTCGCTGACCCAGCCTGCCAGCCCCCGGAAGGCAGGTAATAGCCCCAGTCGCACTCCGGACACGCTGCTTCCTCTCACATCTCCACCGGCAAAGTCCCGCAGTGAGGCAAAGCCAGGGGTACGGCCGGCCGGTCTCTGCCCTGAGCACTGGGCCCAGCGCCCCTCTCAGAGCGCGGAGCAGGAGAAACGCTCATCCCTAAGCTAGCCATTTGGCTATTCTCCCCTACAGACACCGCCTCAGCAGTAGGGATGTAAACGGGGAACCGGTTAACCAGTGCCCGTCCCAGCTGGACCCCCGCACTGTGGGCTGCCCCACTGCGCTGCACTACGGATGGGGGCTAATCCAGCGTCCCCCCAGGTGCAACGCTGCAGGCTGGTTAACTGGTCCAACATATAGTTTAACTGGTTAAAACTCTCAAGGGGATTTTGCATCGCTAGTCGGCACTTGGAAAGTGCGGGGAGTGGGGCTTGCAGGGGTCAGTCCGCAACACAGCTGCGGTTCTACTGAAGTCCGGGAGCTGGTGCATTCCACGCCGCTGGGGTCAGTGAAACGCACGGCTGCGACTGTTCTCCTGGCGGCACTCCTTAGAGACAGGTTACTGTTGGGCTGTAAGAAGCGACCTGGCCATTTATCTTTCTGCATCGCCAGCACAAGCTTGAACAGGGACAAATGCTGCATGTGAAGATCACAGTGCCCAGCACAGAAAGGCGGCCACTTCTGGGGTGGGCTGCGTCAGCTGTCTAACTAGCACACAGCCCAGGTGCACGGCGTGGCAGGAGAGGGAGCGAAAGGTGCCACAGGAAAGGCATTTTGAAGGCGAGAGGCAGAAAGGCACTGCCCAGGGGAGGGATCCCTGGTCCATTCACTCCCTCTGGGGCACCTGGCACTAGCGTCTGTGCGCAGACAGCACCCTGGGCTGGATGGGCCTTGGGGCTGACCCAGCCTGGACGCTCTGATGTTGGACCTCTGGGCTTTGAAAAGGCCGAGACCCTTTACTCTGTGGCCAGGGCCCAGCGTTGCTCGTGCTATGGACGGTCTCCAAGTGAATGTCCCCCGGGGGCCGCCTTACTTTGGTTATGTCGACAGGAAGCCCGCCCTGGGATGCCTCGATCATGGGGCCCAGGCCCTTGGCCTGGCGCAGGAACAGCTTGGCTCCCTCGATGTCGTTCTTCTGCTTGGCTCGGAGCGCCGCCTGCATCAGCTGTTTCTTCCTGCCCTCCAGGAAAGCCAGCTGCTGTTGGGCTGCCGGGAGGAAGAGGAAGAGGAGGTGGGCGGATGCTGGGACCGCACGCGAAGGGGAGTCCGAACTGGAAAAGGAGGGGGGGTGCAGGTGTATTCAAAATACCAGGCCCACCCCCCCCAGGGCCTAGGGGCTCCACGTGGGCACACGATGCGCGTCAGTAGCACTGCGGTGGGGATCTCTCGCGCCATCGCGGACTTAAGACGCCTTTGGCTCAGGACAGGTGGCTCTGATACAAATGGCACCTGAAAGAGGGGCATCGAATCCCCCTTCATTGGCTAGTGGGTTAAACGTCACATGCAATCCAGGGGTGGGGAACCTAAGGCCCGGAGGCCAGATGCTTGCCTGGATCCGGCCCCCCAGCTTCGGGGACTCGTACTGATGTTCCAGCCTCCCGCGGGGCTGGAGCAGACAAAAATCGACTAATCCAGGCCCCCCCAAGCCTGGGGGTGCGAGGGGAACGCGGGGAGGGTCTTTCTTCTTCTCACTTGGGGGTCACGTCAGTGACGGGTTCTTTGCTTCTCACGTGTGTGCGGCCCCCGACTGATTTTCCTGTGGGTCAGCGGCCCCCGGCCCACAAAGGTTCCCCACTCTAGGTTTAACCGGTTAACTGATGAAGAGGGGGCGTGGGCGGGCGGAGGGGCTGGGCTGGAGTGGCCCCCTCTCCCCCCCGCCCACTGCAGCCGGGTTGGAGCACCCTGCCTGTGGCCGGCGGCAAGAGCCGTTAAGAGTAAGGCTGAGGCTCCCCGGTTAACCTGTTACCCTGTCACGTCCCCTGTGCACTGCCTGGCAGCCTCACGCCAGGGGAGGACGGTGAAAGGGGAAGTCCAGGGACAGGCAAGAGACGAGAGGGAAGGGCTGGCCTGACACAGCAGGAACTAGGCAGCATTGGCTAAGTGAGGGCCAGGGGGCCGGAGGCGAGGAAGAGCTCCTCGGTCTATAAACAGCATGGGAGGATGGGGAGGGCGGGCTGAAAAGCCAGGAGCGGTGGGCAGGGGG